AATCAATGTGCTGTGCGCAGCTCTACTATGAAAATCAATATGTTGCAGTCATTGTTAATATTGTGGCAGTGGCCTCAAATAAATCAATGTATGTGAAATGCTGAGAAATGTAAAAAAAAATACTTATGTTTTGTTATGAAACTGTAGTGGGTCAGAGGATGCAAGCTGAGTAGGCGGTGCTTGAAAGTGGCCCAGTATGCATTTGGGTTTTCCCAGCTATAAGAATGTGGCTACATGCATCCAAGACCACCTATGAATGTGGTGTGATTTAAAGTCCGTCTTTGACACGTTCACACTTAAAGTTGAGGCTTTCCACTTTTGATCAGCTCACTTGAGACAGATGTTAGTACCAGGTCTGAACAGAGCATCTTACAGGTCAATGGTTTGATTTTCTATTCTGTTCACCGTGACAAACACTGCACAAAGATCTGCTGTTCACTTTTTGTAAATGGTGAACTAATGTCCACAGCTGATTTCTGATGACCTCCGAAAAAGTTGAAATTTGAAGCATTTTGGGAAATGCAGTTTTAGCTTTCTTTCCAAACTGTGAGATGAGAACATCACTCTCATGACAGTGTCTTGAGTATGGAACCAAAGCTGGTGGGCGATTTGTCTTTGTTTAGCTTAGAGATTGGAGGCAAGAGAAAACAGCTAGCCTGGTTTGAGCCTAAGTTTAGAAACAGGTCTATGGCACATAATAATAAGTTCCATTATTAACATGTTCTGTAAATATAAAAATGCTAAATGATTTTAGGGGTGAGTGCTGCACCAATTTGGCAACAGAAGTTCATATGGTGTCGTTGTACACCTACATCAGATAAAACCTCAAATTGTTGTCTGTACATTTTTGTAAACAAGATATAAGACATTAATCTAGTAGGTCTTAGAAGTTGTTAATTTGTTAAATGTATTTTTAACTTGAGCCAAGCTAGCTGTTCCCGCCTTCTTATGGCAAACTAATTACTGATGTACTTAACGACAGTCACGAGGGTGGTGTCAGTCTCCTCATATACTGCTTAGAAAAGGGAGGTTCAGTCCAAACTTTTGGACTCTTCCTTTATTAATGAGTGATGTTGCACATTTGGGGTTTCAAAGTTCATTGAGGTGTTTGGCATTCAGTCATGATTGTTGATCATTTTATCTCAGTCCATCGTTTTATCTACAACACAAAAGAAAGTGGTGAAAAATGTCTGCCACAATTTCAGCCCAAGGTTACAGTGTGTTTTGAAATTGCTTTTCTGTCTCATCGTCCATCAAAAACAATCACTTTACCATGAAATGAAACTACAAAAAAACAACAAATCTTCACATCCAAAAAGCTAGAGACATACAGTTATTTTATATAAAAGCATTTCATTTGTTGGATTCTCTCAAATGATTAATCAATTAACTGCTTTTAGCATGTAAGCTAAAACCCACAAACTAGATGTCTCTTTAGTGATGTAGCTCTTTGTTGCTTTTTCACTGTGTAAAAATTTGCCGTGGTAGACATTTTCTAAACATGCTGCAGAGTGGAGAAACTGTCTAAAAAGAAAACGAAAGGACATTTTTTATATAACACATCCTTGCTGTGGCAGAGGTCGGCCAAACACCATGTGCCTTAATCACTGTTCGCCTCTGGTCGTGACCTGCTGCTATGTCTGGCTTACTAGTCGGGGAATTTTGTTTTCATACGACTTGGATATTGTGTGAAGTTTTTTTTAAAATTATTATTATGTGTGTCCTTTTCTGACATGTAATCTCGTATATGTACTATTTTCTAGAGACTGGGGGTCTTGCAGTGAAACTAATATAGAAGAAGTGAGTCATAGTGCTGCCGCCCTTTAAAAGTAATGCAGTGTGCTGTCACTATACAGCACCGCAGAGAACACAGAGCCAAGGTGCTGCAGTGGCTGGGTGTGGGATCTCTAATGCACAGATTGTTAATGGAGCTGAGGAAGAGATTTGATGATGTACTGTATAGCTGAGGGATGGAAACACAGTTTAAAGGGTGGTATTTTGTGCAAGATGCAACTACATATTGATTTTAATATACAGGAGCACTGCATAGATGAGTGGTTACTATGTTTGCATGTGTTTTCCTCCCCTGGTTTCCTGCAAAGACAGGTTACGTCACAGCTCTTGAGTATCCGTTGGTGTCAATGTGAGCGTGAATGTATTGTCTCCATAGTCGTATTTTAGACATGAACTCTGGAAAATTGGGTCCAGACATTTTCCAGTGTTTGCCTTTCACATATGAAGAACGCAGCAGGAGATTGTCCGGGTCAGACATGTTCAGAACAACAGGAAAATGTCCTCATTTCAGGTGAAGCGTGTCCCCTGGGTAGAGCATGCAGGAGGCAGGACATGACATAAAAATTCCACTTCAGAAATCACATGTTTTTATGTACAGCACATAGACACCCGTGTCTGCCCTTAACACCCTCATTGTCTTTTCAAGTGGACATCTTTGTCGGCGTCCTCTGTGTTTAGTACCTCGTTTTCATCCTATTTGTATGTGAGAGCAGCTTATTTGTCAGACAGACTGACGAGCAGAATGTTCCCTGCCTCTCACCCTCACAGGATGGGTTGTACACGATAGCTTATGGATGGATGGATACATTACATACATGCAAGTTACATCTGGGTAAATGGTTGGTAAATATACAGTGCTTTTCTAGTCTTGATGAAGCAGCACTTTTCTTTTTGTTCTATGAGGGGCAATTCGGGGTTCAGCATCTTGCCCAAGGACATTTTGGCATGCAGATGGGGAAGACTGTGGACCTTCTGGGTGGAGGACGACTACTCTACCCCTCAGCCACAGCCGCCCCCAGAAGTCATCCCTTTTGTTTACCATAAATATACCACACCACCAGTTGGTTACTGTATGAATATGAATATCTTTATATACAGTCTATGATGACAAAAGTATTTCCAACTACCTCCTGACCCAGGTTTTGTGTATCCATGATTAACTGTTGTTTCTAATTTCCACAAAAAATTTTATCTGCAGAATCTTCCATTCATTAAATGAGCAGACATCAATCATAATGCAAAGGAGGGCACTAAATCAGAATTAATCAAATCAATATAAATCATCACCCTGGTCCCACAGTTTGTTAAAACCTCTTTACGCTGGTGAGAATGTCTTTCAGATTAGACTCTTGTCCCTGGCGTAGAATTGGCCACTGAAAACATTGAGCATCTCCACACCTCAACTAAACTAAGACTATTTGATACAGAGATTTATCCAAGAGATGATTTTAAATGTAATGTTCTTATGTTGGTGTATGGATCTTGGGCAGCTGTGCCTCAGCAGGTCATCTACCAACCAGAAGGTCAGTGGTTTGATCCATGGTACCTCCAATCTGTCCTTGACTCTTTGATAGGAAAATTGTTGGGTATAGTTGTATAAACTACATATATAAACTGCTGTATAAATGCATGTGTGAATGGATGGATGTGACTTTTGTTGTGTAAAACGCTTTGGATGATCGATTAGAGACTAGAAATATGATATATCAATACAGACCATTCACCATCAGCCCACTGGACCCATTTCACACTGTGAAATAAGTATAGTATTCACATGCTATAAGAAGACCAGATAAGTTGCTTTTGGAGTATGGCTTCAAAAATGTTGCTCAACATTATACTCTCATAATTTTTTTCAATAATAATAATACATTTTAAAATAATCTGTTTTTATCTTTAGTAGTTCCTTCATTTTGGATGTTCCAAGTGTTAAAATGTATTTTCTGGAAGCCGCAGATGCCCTAAAGATGCAAATCCCTGCCTGGTCTATTGACTTATGAGCCTTTACATAATTGTTTTGTTCATTTTATCACACGCCTGTAAAAGAAATACCCCAAACATGTCACCACCAGAGATTTGCAACAGCAGTGAGGTCCTGACACCATTTTCAGCCTCCCTGGGAGCTGTTTTGGATGAGCACCTTACATTTGTTCTCTGACAGTGTTTCACAGCTCAGCCCAGCCCAGCTCAGTGACAGGTAAAGGTCAGAGAGAGTGTGTGGGAATCCAGGGGAACACAGTAGAATTTGCTCCCCTTCATTACTGGGGCTCTGCTCATAAGGCTTAACTCAGGCTCTAGAGTGATGGAGAAGATTAGGGATGAAATAGTTACCGGTAAACCGTGGTAGATGTTCTGATGATTAGTTGTACCATTTCAATCTTTAATTGCCATGATTACCATGGTGATACTGTAACAAGGGTTGGGTGAACGAAATCTGGTACCCTTAACAGGCCTGCTCCATCCAGACCGAATCACGACGTAGATTTTGGTGCCTCTTTTTAGTGTTTGAGCTCTGTACTGAAATGATCTGCTTACAGTCAACTTAAACATCACCACAGGACTTAACCCTGATGAATACACCCTGACTACATGACTCTGACAGCATGTAAACTTACAGTTAGCTAGTAGCTATGTAAAACTTGCAATGCCACAATAATACTGATAACCACCATAATTATGGTCACACACAAAATGTTCACACTGTTTCATGGCAAAAGTATGAAGAATGTCACATTTTGATGATAATAAAGGAGTGAGAAAATGTAGGTGCTTGTAGTTAGATGGGTATTTTATCCATCCATCCGTCAATCCAGAGACAAAGGAAATCAGAAGTGAATGGGGCTCAGTATCTTGCCCAAGGACACTATGACATGCGGCATGGGGAAGACAGGGATCAAACCACTGACCTTCTGGTTAGAGGACAACCCCTCAGTCACAGCCGCCCCAAGACAAATGATCAATACTTACATCGTTTTATTTACACCATGACTATTACTTTTTAACTTTTGAAATAAATATGGATACAATATGACATTGAGAATTGTTTTTGAATTATATTTGACTTCTGGAAACCATTTTGCTATCATCCTATGATGTAGCGCAATTGGGAACCACTACCCTAGTTGATACACTATGTACTAATGTTTTAAGCTCAGGTTTCTTAAGTGGTGTGTTAACTTCTCCTCTCTCCATGTTTTATCTTCCAGTACCGGATTGGGCAGCTGTACATGATCAGCAAACACAGCCATGAGCAGAGTGATCGAGGGGAAGGGGTGGAGGTCGTCCAGAACGAACCATATGAGGACCCGGCGCACGGCCAAGGACAGTTCACAGAGAAACGAGTCTACCTCAACAGGTCAGTGAAAGATGTCTCTGATTGTATATATTGTTTGGCTCCTGTTAACACCAATTATATTCCCTATGAGTTCCTATTTCGCTCTGCTGCCAGTTGAGTGAGGCTGTAGTATTTCCATTGAAGTTGAAAGTTTTTCTTAGGCAGACTCCTCCGGCCCACAGGACGTGTTTTGTTTGTAGAAATAATAGAGGACGGACTGAGGAGGTAGAAAAATCAACATTAGCTTCTATGGTTGAACAGTTTATGAAACGTACAACCCACAGAAACTATAAATTCGCCCACACTGGTTGGCTGACAGGTTGTGCAGAACGGAAGCTCTGCAGTAATTAGCTGAGTAATATTTACTGCTTTAAATGTGTGTATATATATTATTAATTGGTTAAAATTACTCTCAGTAATTTGATGAGACACACACAGATATACTCACACATACCACCGACTGCAATATTCCCATTGAGTTACTCACTGATGCATCTCACTGTGTCATGTGATCGTCTTTGTGCACCTATCTGTGAATGTTGTCATGTGTGACCCCAGATAACAGGATGGAGAATACGTGAAAAAGGAAAGAAAGAGAATAAGGGCAAGAAAGAGAGGGAGAGAAAAGGGTGGGGGTTTCTGTGTGCCATTTGTTTGAACACAAATACCTGTGTCAGCATTTTGCTATGCTGGGGAACTAATTATGTCGAGTCAGCACTGCTCTGCTCTGCAGAGGAGAACGAGAAAAGAGGCGGAGGAAGCAGACAGAGATAGTTGGGCTTCCAAGCAGGTATTTTACATTCTTGTTGCTCTGTAATAAATGAGTCAAGTTACTAAAACAGAGCCTATTATTAAGAAGTTGCTGTTATTCACAAAAGCATTTTTTTGCTTGCTCTAAACTTTGTTTGGACTGAGGAAATAAGTGTTTGAATTGCTAAGTTGTTTTTTTAATGGAGGAGGCTCAGGCTGGCTCTGCCAGGCTCAGGAGAGAATTTAATGAAACCAAATGCTCAGCGTTAACGTCCATTTACATCTGCAGCTCAGATGAAGAAAAAAAAAACAAAGCAATGACCTTTCCAGAGTACCTGATATAAAATCACAAGCCTGTTTTGGCTCTCTCATTCTCACACACAGGAACACATGCACACACACACACACACACACACACACACACTTGCTGACAGTACGTTTTAAGTTGGGTCATGAAAAGGGGATTTATTATAGATTACTCTGCTTCCCTATCTGATGTTACCGCTGATAAACACGTAATGAGACAGTCTTATGAGATCTTTGTTTATCCATCTGTGCTGTAAATCAAAAGTACTCCCTCCTGAATGAAAAAGGAAGAAAAACACATAAACAAAAGAAACAGAAAAAGGCAAACATCTGCAGTGTACGACGAGAGAATAAGCAAACGCTAAGTGACTTCAGGTCACAGAGGTTCAGTAAATTGAACTAATATTTGTAATGGTACATCGAGTAATGTTATATGACGAAATGTTATGTTGAAATATGAAATCTTATTTTACCATAACTAACCACTCGTTTCCCCCCATTCAAATGGCTTTCCATAGTTGTCTCTGCAACAACTAAACATTTAGCTCTCACCGAGCAGCAGGGAATTCAATCTGGACTCAATCTGTCAAGCTTCAACCGCCCCATTAACTCTCAAAATCTGCCTCGCACTGTACCCCATGACTTGGCACCACCCTCTCCGACCTGGCTACTGACTCCATGCTTGTTCCATCAATAAACCTTCCTTAAAAGCAGAGGGGGGTAATTGTTGATTTTATGAAGGGGATATGTTCAATGAAACAAGTATTTTCTTTTTCTCTTCTACGTGCAAATGGCGGCTTTGGCGTGAAAACTCTGAGCAGCCACCCACCGAGCATGCAGGCTTGGCGATGTGGGCTCCGTCACAGCAGCTTTTGGCAAAGATCTTTTAAAAGAAGGAGGGAATGGGAGAAATCAACAGATGGAGGTGTGGGAGTGTCAGTCTCTTTTGTTGGGAGAGCGAAATGGGGAACGAAAGAAAGAGAGGGAGAGAGTATGAGCGAGCCTGCCAACATTCATACAATTTGAGAGGCGAAGGCTGTTTTTATTCAAAGCCGTCACGATGCAGTGGGCGCCATTTTTTTTGTCCTCCTTTAAAAAACTGTTTACATGTCAATCAAAGCAAGTGGAACTGAAGGCAGCCTCATTAAAGCTGCTGCACATTTGACTCATAAATACATTCTCAAAGCAGCCTCAATCACTGTCTAACCAAAGATCAGAGGTCACCATCAGAGAAGGTCAAGCATTCATTCTCGCACACTAAGCCCCCTGGGTGCACAGCGAGCTTCAATTCTATCAACAGATATGGTGGATAATATGACAGAACAGTTTCATTTTACACCCCCCTGAAACCACAGTGAGACATTTTCACACTTATTTTTGTCCAGATTAAAGGAACAAGTTAAAACAAGTTCATTGTCGAACATTAGATGCACTGGTTGGTGTTTTTGGTCACCTTTGGACTGAGGCTAGCTGCCTCCCCCTGTTTCCAGTCTTTGTGCTAAGCCAAACTTGAGCTAACCCACCACTGACTGTAACTTCATACTGAAGTTTCATATTGAAGCCAGAGGATCAATCAATCAAACAATAAAATCTTATTTCTATAGCCCACATTCACAAATCACAATACCCCTTAATCCTGGACTAGTCTGAGGAAAAACTACCAAATGAATCCAATTTTTATTTACTTGATGGATTGAAAATAGAAAATATTTCAGAGGTCTTAAACAAGTGTATGTAGGTCTTGATTACGTTAACGTTCATTTTACACAACTACCGGTGCACTGTAAAAAAAAAGAAGTTCTCTTTCTTTTTTAAAGATAAATAGTATGTAATATCTGTGTGTTGTTCTTTTTCGACAATACTGATATTAGCACGCTGTAATAAAACTACAAGACCAACTGTCACCTGAATTTTATCTCAGTACACTTGTCTTGGCTGTGGGAAAGACTATGGATACCCACTGTTTCTGTCTGTGGTTTATGGGATAACGTGGCATTTCGAGGGCATCCAGTGATGGGGAAAAGTGTGACTCCAGTATTCCTTCATTTCTGTTGTTCTTGACATATAGGTCTTAGAATTCACTCATCATGGTCTTAAACAAAATATTAATTTCAACTTGCTGAAACCAAGTTTAAATGAATAGGTTTTCCACGTATTACTGGCACTGTCGAATCAATACAAAGCGCTAATGGATGGGGAAAGTGAAAAAGTACCTCCTTACTGCCACTGAAGTACACTTGAGCAAAAGCCAGAACCTGCAACCACTGTAGTGAGGCTGCTCAGTGGCCAACAGAACAGTCTGTGGTTGAACTGCATGGGAAACTTCCTGTATGTGACCAGGGTGTTCTTGAAAGATGTCATCACTCTTAGCCAACACATCCTGGATAAATTACATTTAACACTGAGACAAACAAAATGTATGATTATAGGATTTGTGTCCTCCTGTTGGGTTTTGGTCTGTAGTTCGTGGAAGGTTTAAAAAGCCTTTATGGATGCACAGTAGTAACCCTATGTGATTGGGCTTCTGTATCATCTTCCCTGAATTAAAGCTTTTTGGAGCAGATTTCCTTTTACAACATCCCTCAGTTTCTATCTTTCTCAAATGGAACAAGTTTTTGATGATTGCTGCGATAACGGAAGCAATTTCACCCTCCACCCCTGCTTTGCTACTTAATCCTCACAGTGTCTCTCCTCTTCTGTTTCTTCCCTCCTCAATGTGTCTCTGCAGTAAATTACCCAGCTGGGCTCGAGCAGTGGTTCCCAAAATCTTCTATGTGACGGAGAAAGCATGGAATTACTACCCTTACACCATAACAGGTAAGCTCGCTGAGTAAATGTGTTTCCTGAGAAGTCAGCCAAATTTGTCTTATGTAGTTTAATGATCTCTATATGACCAGGTATTAGCCAGTTCCACACACATACACACAATTATTGTCCAATTCAGTTAAGCCAAGTTCGCACGACATGTCTGTGGATTTGTTGTGCACTTCACACCACACAGCTTGCTGTCTTGTGATCAGGAGTCTTTCAGTTGTTCATACTATACGTCTGACTGGTGATGGGGGGGTCACAGACAACATGATCTCATGAAAGCAGTTTTCAGACGTGGACTCCGGAGGATGTCCAGAGAATTGGGTCTGAACTTTCACATATGAACAATGCAGCGGGAGATTCATCAGCAGAGGCAGGACGTAACATATAATTCCTGCTGCGATGATCCCTTGTTTGCACACATTGACAACTCAGATCAAATCACACATTTGCACTCAGTCCTTATCACCAGAAGCTCTCTTGACCTTGTCATCGGTGTCCTCTACATGTATGGCTCTATACGCTCACGGTGGAGTATGCAGAGGATCTCCTGCTGTGTTCTCACATGAGCTCGTCCGGACTTTGGAAGGACTTTATCGGGAGGACTTTATCAGGGGACTTGCCGGGGAATTACTTTTCCCTCACTTGTGAGATTTGAGTTCACACATACAGCCCCTCCATAGCATGTCTGCTGGTTCTCAGGATGTCAGGGCATGTCTGAAAGCAGCTCAGGAGAAACCCCCAACTGGTCTCCAAACTACATTTAATCACGGAAACATGCATGCGAGAACTGACACAGTGAACCGAGTGATCCTCCTCGTCCTCTGTGTCTCCTGCTACATCGGGCTGGAGGAGGTGAAACACTTCAGTGGACATCACAGTTCTTTTTCTGCCCAAACCTGTCCGAGTCTGACAGAAAGCTAACTGCATTCTGTTTAATCCGGCCCCTGCGCCGACCTGATATGAAGCTGCACTAAATGTGTTTCTCTGTCACACATGGCTATACCATCATTTACCCGATTACAAATGTGGGGGCACCACACCACTACATCTACCTTCACCACCTCCTCCCTGTCCTGTGCTCTGATTGGTTGGAGTTGTCACTGACGTAACTACATTTTCATAGTTGACGGTGAACGATTGGTGACTGCCGAACGAGCACCAGTCGGGGGCTTTTGACAGCCACTTTCAAAACTCGTTGGTGATTAGCAAGTCAGAATGATAATCATGAAGTGTGAACTAGGCTTTAGCTGCTGTAACAGTAAGAGCTGTAACTCTAATGTTTCCCTGGTGTAGCAATTGAGCCTGAGACCTGAGTAAATTTGCGCTGCAGTCACATTAAGCAGAATACCTTTTTATTAAAGGTCAGCTTCTCAATTTGTTTTCACATAAAGTTGTCTTGTTGTTAAAATATAAATTAAAGCTCTCGCCATTTGCTATTTTTACTGGCTGTTGAAGGGAGTTGGGGAAGTGTGAAAACATAGGATGGGTTTTCCAAGAGCACTGAAAAGAAAAAAGCTCTTTCTTACACAAGGTTGCTTATCTCCACTTCCTTTTTAATATATTAAAGAAACACACCTCCAGGAAAGTATTTTTCCAACATATGTCACTGTACAACTTCAAACATGTGTTGCATAATTCAGGAAGCTCTGATGCCGAAGCTCTGATGCCGAGTTTTTTTCAGATACTGTGAAGGACATACTAATGCCACATACATGCTTAGAATGGAGACGGGGATGTTGACGCAGAAACATTGGAACGAGGCAGCTTTATGAGCTTTTTAGCAAAATGTCAGGGACCTCTGAAGACAAACCGATTTTTCAATGCATGTGGATGGAGCCACAGATTCACACTCTCAACACTAACACACATTATTCAAATAGATCTCAGTTCGAATGCGATGATGACAAACTGATAACACTTCATCTACAGCTTTCTGTCTGTCACTGTGTCTGTTAGCCAGGACCACGCGACGTGAGAAAGCATGTTATTGACATGTATTTTTCTACATGTTTACCTTTTTTTTTTTTTTTTTTTTTTTATCCACACTGACTCACTGTGGGGGCTGGACTTGAGTCAGCCTCACTTTGTAAACTGCCAACGTTCCAGACCACTGAAGTCGGGAGTGGGGCGATCAGAGCTGCAGTGGCCACGACATGCTTCTGTGATGCTCTAATGATGCTGATCTGAGGGAGAAGTGTTACAAGCAGAGGAACACAGATAAAAGAGAATTTCTTTTTGATGAGAGCAAATTAGAGAAAGCAGAGGAGGAGGAGGAGGATGTGAGAGTCACGATTTTATGCAAACAGGTCCTATATGTCTCACACATGTTCTACATTGTGGCCCCGTTGTTTCCTTTTATTCTAACCTTGTCTCTTTTGTGTTCTCTCTCTGCTCCGACCTGATGTCTGTGTCACCATACGCCTCTGCCTATAGAATATACTGTAAGTATCCTCTACATACACACTATTTCACTCCATTTGTGCTTCTTGGAAAATACATTTGAGTTAGCTCCCTGTGGGTTTGTCACAGTGAGGGAATCCTTTACATGTAGGCACTGCAAATGTAACTCGAATGGCACTCAGTAGAGCGCACACCCCCGCCAAGACCCAACAGTCCCCTTATATTCAATCACGCTGCAACAGATTGCAAACACTTGACGTAATCATTCCTGTAAATGTGCCTGATTTTTTTTCATCAAGATTCATGAATTATTCTCTGGGAAATGTCAAAAAACGATTCGTGGAAATCTGTGTGAAATCTTGCTTTTGTGTAAGAAAGAAACAACAGACGGGGAAAAAACATGATCTCATTGGTGGAGGTAAAATAATAATAATAAACTATATTCATATAGAAAAACACTGATGAGTGCAGCTGTAAGAACCAACATTTTTGAGTTTTAAATTTGTACTGTTCACTGACTCCATTTAGAAGCATTAATGTCTGTTTACAGAAGTGACTTCATGCAGTGTGCCGCTGTTTGTATTCTTGAAGTAAAGCGGCAGGATTTCATGTCTGTAATGATCAATATAACTCTGTCAAGCCCTTAAACTCACACACACACACACACACACACACACACACACACACTGGTGGGTGTGGTCTTTGTTAATGAGCAGAACTGCCTTCATGACACCAGATTAACCCCAGCATACACATCAAGCTTTAGCAGAACTAGCTGACACATTTTTTAAAATGAGGCTTAGCTGCAGGGCTTCTGTTGAGCAGAGTGAGAAATGCCAGTTATGTGAGTCACGCCGCTTTAGGGTGAGGGGATAAGTGGGGAACAAGGACAAGATGTTGTGACAAGAGAAGAATGCTTAATATTGTTCCTGTTTATGTGTGGGAGCGTTTTCCGTTCATGTATGATTCAGGGTCGATACACTCATGTCAAGAATAGTTGTTTTTAGCCAGTTTCGGCATTTGTCACTGTTTGACAAAGAGATTGAAATGCTGTCACAGCCTGGTCGCTTAAAATGTTTAGTTTCCTCATCTTTATCCACAGTGCTCATTCCTGCCGAAGTTCTCCATCCACATAGAGACAAAATATGAAGACAATAAAGGATGCAACGACAATGTGAGTACAGTGTGTGTGTGTGTGTGTGTGTGTGTGTGTGTGTGTGTGTGTGCAATCAAATGCATACAAACACACGCTTCATCTTTCTGTTGTCATCTCTGAGGTGTGGTCGCTGAAGGAGATTTCTGTTCTCTAAATTTGATAACAACGTCTCTGATCTGTCGCCTCGTCTTGTCAAACCAAAGAAGCATCAGTCTGAAATGTCACAACATGCTTAATGCACACTGACAGTCTGTCCATTTCTGTCTGCCTCTGCACTTAATGGGTCAACGTAAACTTCTCTGACATCAACAAGCCACTAAAGCCGACCACAGCCTCCAATATACAACCACTAACTTCCTGACAATCTGAAACAAAATATGATTCAAATTATGATAAGATCATGATCACCACCGTTATGTACTCATGCAATTGTCTGTCGCACACCACTCTGCCATATTTCTTCATCATTTCTTCACTGGCAGCCTTTCATTTGATCTGCGCAATCTGGAGAGTGGAGTAAACTACAGAGAGAAAAACAGCAAGTATAGAGCAACGGCCCAAACAGAGCTTGCTATCTAACGAGTGGAGCACTTTTTGGCAGACTCTCAAGGCTCATGTGTAGCTGGCATTGAGATCAGCATTGAGCTGATCATGGTTACAACAACACTGCTTGATATACAATACGCCTACTCAGTACTCGCATAAAGACATTGACAGACTTCTGCATTATATTACAAACTGTTTCTTTTAATCAATGTTGTTATTTCGATGCGTTCAGTTCACACGTGGCATCTATTGTACTTTTGTCCAGAGGGATCCCTCACATGCGGCTCTCTCTCAGGTTTCTATGTTTCTTTTGGTAGTTTTCCTCACTCTTGCTGAGGGTTAAGGACAGATGATGTCACACTTTGTTGAGCCCTATGAGACACATTGTTATTTGTGAATATGGGCTATACAAATATAATTTGATTGATTGATATGTTGGGATTGCATGCAAGGGTCTGAGTTGCCAAATGTGCCTAGAGGACGTTAGTCATGTGGTGTTTGCAGAGGGCTTGTTTCCCATCATATGTCTGCTATGTGATACTTTGTGCTTTTAATTGGCCTGTTTTGCGTTAGATATATATAATTCTGTACAAGTAGGAGAGGGGGCAGGCAGCAGTGATACGTTAAATTAAGAGAGATGTGTGGGAGTCAGTGAACTAGTCACAGCCTGACTGATTCACTGACTGGAACTACAAGCTGTTATACTCTGAGCTTAATAACATGTATATGCATATGTATTCGTACATTTCTTCTCCTAGGGAACAAGAAACTGAAGTTCAGAAACAGCACAGATGTGTTATGTCATGACAGTAGATGTGTATTTGTGCTGCCAAAAATCACACATTTGCATCAGTGAATGTACTGATGCTCATACTACACTGCTCAGAAACACACACACACACACCAGTGTACACTTACTCATACTCACATATTAAGCTTTAAGGTGTCCTGAGGCATATGTTGCTCTACTAATCTCCAAGGACTTGTGAACTACACAGGCAGGATGAGGAGCATCTATTTACCTCTTTTCAGTCAGTCTCTACTCTTTCACACCATTTATTAATTTCCTTTATGTTCTTGTTAACTTGGCCTTACCCCAACCCCAAAAAACTGTCACGTTGCCATGCAAGTGCACCCGCCAGTCTGACCAGCTGTGGAATTGACTTTTTTTTCTTCTCTTTTTTATCACATCTATTTTCCACTCTGTCACTCTGCCAGCCACTGTTAACATCATTAGGGAGCCTATAAATATCATTGGAAAAATCATTAAAGAATGTTTCCTCAGCTCTGACACACACAAAATAGTTTTGCACCTTTTATTTCCAGCTTTTTCCATTTTGACTGTTTGAAAATGAATGAAACTGACCAATAATCCTTCTAATTAATTAGTGCACTCATGTAGTCAAATTTAAAAATTGATGCAGACATTTGTACTTTTCCTTCTCATTCTCTGATTACACATTTTATCTCCTGTCCTCCCTCTCTCCACATGCGTTTCCATGTCTCTCTCCTTTTCTCCAACCCCCATCTCTTTTTCATTGTTTACCTCATTCATTTCTCCTTTCATCCATCTCTGCCTCTCTCCATCCCAGTCCCCATCTCCTGTCGCTCGGTTGCACTCATGCACGCTGACATATCGCCCTGTTTGTGCCAGCAGTGTTCATCCACAAAGACAGAATGTACTGAGAGAGAGGGAAAGGAAGAGAAAAACAGAGAGTGGATTAAAAAAAAAAGTTGTGTTTATCTGCAAAGAGGGAAAGTTCACGTGCAGTTGAGTGGCAAAGCTCTAAAATGATGGCAAGTAATGGTAATGCGATAAATGATAAAAATGGAGGCTGCATTATAGTCAGGATGTTCATGTGAAATACTTGCAGAGAAAAGAATGACACCCTGTAGAGTCACATAATTACTTCAACTAGCTGTCAGCTGCTAGAGAGCGGCTCCTGCCTGCTGGGGAATTACATTTTCATTTTGGATTTTGAAAAGCAAGAAAGAAAAAGTGGTCTCACCGATGACAGCTGAACCCTTCAACTTAAAGCCAGGGTTGGTAATCCTGGAAAAGCAAGAAAAAGCAGCCTACAACAGATACATCCCACCTCCTCCTATTGGCTCTCTCGTCAAAGCTATGCCCACATAAATGTGCGCTGACTGACAACTGTGACCCACTCGCTAACTGCTGGCTAACTTCTTTGGTCGTGTTTATTACAGACCTGCGAGGGTCATAGATGACCTTATTAATTAATGGCATTTGGGACCTGAAGAGGATTTTACCAAAGAGAAGAATAGAATAGAAAAGGCTAAAATAGAAAAGCCCCTCTCCCAGGGATTAATAATCAGATTAAATAGATAAAACTAGAACATCTCCTTTAATTCAATAAATCTGTACTATATTACACACACTCATAGATATCAGTTCCCCACTTTTTTGGGGAATCCATTAATTATTCCCAAGGAAAACGGTGAAAATGTGGAAAGAAAATCTGGATCAGGATTGCACCTAATACAGATCCATTTATGTTGTGTCGTAAATGTAATAGTAATAGTTGTAATAGTTCTACCAGACTCATACCACATCCTTCCATCAAATTTTGTGTAAATCCGTTCTGTAATTTTTTGTGTAATTTCGTTTAGACCCAAACAAACCAACCAACAGACAAATGGAGGGAATAAAAACATAACCTCCTCTGATGAGGTAATATGATTAGTTAGATTTCAATAAAACAACATTAGGTCCATAATATGATTGAAAAAAAAATGTTAAGCAGCACCTTGCACGAGCAAGCTTTTTTTCCATTTTTTTATCACCACGTTTATTCTTCCAGTAACAGGCCTATAGTTTAATTGAAAATAAATCTTTTAAATGAAGCACATGGCTTTTAACCTTCCACATCAAAAAGATTCCCCTGCATCGATATGGCAGGTACTGTACTGGTCCACTGTGGAGAGATAGTGTGTGAGTATGTGTGTGTTTGTTCTTATAAATACATGCATGACTATGAATGGATTAATTAATAGATGCAGTAGTGTATAAGTATATACACTCATACCGGATTTATTGCAGTCGAGGGTTTTATAACATGTGTGAAGTAGTAATAGCATTCAGCACTACTGTATATCATTTGGCACAGTAACCAACTGAAGACATGGCATGGAGCGCCTCCTAATGTTAGTGTAAATAATTACAGTATATGTTTTTATAGCAGATGATGGACTCTTAATAACAATCACTATTAGTCACTAATAGTAAATTTTCTCAGCACATCTGATGATGTATCCCTGAAAGTATATTTTATGTGAGTGCTGGCAAACCAACTCTCTGTTTTGCTTTCAGATCTTCGACACCGAGCTGAAGGAGCAGGAGAGGGAGGTGTGCTTCGTCGACATCGCCTACGATGAGATCCCTGAGCGCTACTATAAAGACTCTGAGGTCTGCGTGCGTGTGTGTGTGCGTGTGGGGAAAGATGCTACACCAGAAAGTTGTTCAAACAGGATTGTTGAATCTGTGAATGCTGCTGTGAAACGATGTGATTGAAGAAACAGTATGATGTCAGTTTCTGGCATGTCATGGTCTTCATCACTGGATAATTACTTAACAGCACAGACAGATATGTGAGGAAGTTCCTCTGTCTTTATTTATTTATTTCATTACCATATCTCATGTATTGAGAGACATAGACCATGGACACAGATGTATTCTGCAAGCTGCTCAGATTAAACTCTGAGATGTAACCAGTATATGATATAATAATAATATATGACCAGATAACAAGAACATTGATTTAGTTTATTTATCTCAAAATATCAAACAACTAACTTGAAAATGAAAAAACGAGTAAATGACACATTAGAAAATATTGAAAACTGGAATTAACAGACAGGTTCCTTGCTCTATTTGTAACGGTAAATGATAGAGATCACCCCTTGAAAATACTTGGTTTTATTCACAAAATGATCTGTATCCACACCATATTTTACAAAATTAATGCAATATTAAAGCAAATAAATAAAAAAAATCCTGGATCTGCCAGCTTAATCAAGTCCACTCCGAAAGTTAAACTGTTCTTCCTCAGCCCATATCCCACCCTTCTACCAAGTTTCAATAAATTGTTTGAGTAATTTTGCGTTACCTGTGAACAGATGAAACTGCAATGAAAACATAACCTCCCTGGTGGAGGTAATAATAATGCACTTGTATTATTATTATTATTATTATTATCATCATCATCATCATCTGTTGAATTTGGTGTTGAAGCCCAATCAATTGCTCTTACACAAGCTTCAGGGACTTGAAATCCTCAGTGCCACTCGTGTTGCAGCTGCGCTCGCTTAATATGCCTCTCCCATCTCATCCAGCGTTCATCTGCAGTCTGAAAGCCTTTTCATACCTAAGAGTCTGTGAAGTGAGGGAGCTGGTAATTGTCTTCATAGCTGTTTGATAACAGATTGCCTGGGATCTAATGAGCTTGGATAGAGATTCTCCGAGGACCAGAGGGGTAAATGCAAATGGTATTTAATAGTGGTGTTCAGTCATGCACCTAATTTTAGACAGTCCCTTAAGTCTGTCTCCACTTGGGTGCAGAAACATTGATGCCTGAAGGTTGGGATTAATTATGGTAATATTGAATGTGTGTGTGCGTGTGCGTGCGTGCGCGTGCGTGTGTGCGTGTGTGTGTGTTCATGCTCCCGTGTTGCAGGACTTGCGATATTTCAAATCGGAGAAGACATCGCGGGGGATGCTGCAGGAGGGCTGGAGGGACACCCAGGATCCCATCATGTGCTCGTACAAACTGGTCACTGTCAAGTTTGAGGTGTGGGGTCTGCAGACACGAGTGGAGCAGTTCGTACACAAGGTGAGAGGTCAACGACGGGATGAACGCTCTAGCTTTTCCTGCTTTGTATGGCTGAGTTCATTCCTTTTCAAACAGTTATTGAACTTATATTCAAAAGATAAGTTATGCAATATTCTGTTTAGTTCAAAAGACCAATATCAACAATTTGTTAGTTTGACTCTCAAAACGTTTCTGTCTTCCTTGCGCTGTTTGACACACATGATATTACCAAAGACATCAGTATTTTACAAAGGGTGAATCTATTGATTAATCTTTTACACGTAATAACAGTGGGCAGCATGGTGGTGTGGTGGTTAGCATTTGCACTTTTCTGTGTGGAGTTTACATGTTCTGTCTGTGTTTGCATGGGCTTCTCTCTGTTTCTCACTGCTTCCAACCAAAGGCATGCAGGTTGGAGTGAGGTTAATGGGAAACTCTAATTTGAGAATGCGAGTGTGAATGGTTGTTTGTCTCTGTATGTTGGTCCTGCGATACGCTGCCGACCTATCCGGGGTTTACCCCACCTCTCGCCCTACGTCAGCTGGGATTGACTCCAGCTCCCCCTGTGACCCACAGGTCAAGAACAAGAAGCATAGAAGAGGACACATGAGTAACTCTTCATCTTTGTGTTACAGGTGGTCCGTGATGTGCTGCTGCTGGGACACAGACAGGCGTTTGCCTGGGTGGATGAGTGGATTGGTAAGACTGTCTACAGACCTGCTGTCTACACACTACTACCTCACAGCTAATGGCAGATTTTTATCTTTCAATTAAGTTAAACCATAGACACTTATTCAAATGAATTATTATTATTATTGGGAATTGTTTCTAACATAAATGTTCACAAGCATAGTTCATAAAACTGTACTTTATAAGCCCACTGTTATATTACTGTCACAATTTAATATTTAAATAGCTACATAGCTTCACTGATTATATAAATTGCTATTGTGTGATTACTGTCTATTTACCAGTGTGCAACTGTGCATGCAAAATCACTCTACCTGCATCTAAGTCCTGCAGCATGGATCCTCCTCTTGGTGTCGGCACTAACCCACTAATAACAAACACTCTGCTCTAGTTTCCAGTCATGGTCACTGTTTGTTTCAAATGTAACCTGCACGATAAAAACAACTCTTAAACTGTAACCTTTCATGTTTCATGATAGAGAAATTCTTACATATCATTAAAGGTAGACACAGGGCTGATATTTGTGTTGATTTTTCAATATTTTTCATATTGAATCATATTGAAGTTAAATATAATAGCAGGGAACATGTTAATCAGAACTGTTTGTATGGTACAGCCAATTACATGAAGGACATTTACATCTGCAAAGAATATTGGACTCACTGAAACATGAAAGCTGCCTCTGTCTGTCTCTCTGAGAGGCTGTTTGCACAAAAGGCAGCATTGACAAGTGGCTGCAACACATTTACTCACTATGCCCTGTTGAGTTTTTCCCCATAGCTGTTGGGCTCACAGATAACAAACCCATTATCTTTGTCATGAAACATCTTCCTCTCCTCTCTAACCTTTTTACCACAACGCCCTACAACCTGGATGCTTTTTGAAGTTCTTCCTAAATCTTCTCACCTGTGACATGATTCAATCCGCTTAGTGAGCGAAACCTTGCTCTCTCGCACATCCAATGATCCAACCTCTTCTTCGGGTGATTTTTCTCAATCTCTGACCTCATCCCTCCCTTCCTCCCTCCTGCTGTGGCTCAGATTTTTCTAGTTGTCTGCTGTAAATTCTCGGAGTCATGGGAAGCGTAATTCTGTAAAGCTTGGACTTAAAGAAATCCCTCTATATTCACCCACGGAATGCACGTTTTGCTGCCTAATCCTCCTCCCCCTAACCTGTCTCTCAACTGGAGTGCCATTGTAGAGTAGTTACCAACATTTCGACCCTCGTTCCACCCCTTCTTCCAGATATGACTTTGGATGACGTGCGGGATTACGAGAGTCAAATGCATGAGCAAACCAACATTAAAGTTTGCCATGAGCAGCAAGAACATTCCACAACAAACCCATCTTCACTGGATGACATAGAGATCCATGACAAAGCAAGTGTATGTGTCTTTTTCATTGTTTCTTTACGCCATTGTCCCTCCTCTGTCTCACATTTTACTTGTGAGGATCTGAAAGAGTAACTTTCTCACAAAGATAACATGTAACATGACAAATAATACTTGTTCTTGGTTTTTGAATCTGTTATATTTACAGCATTGTACTGACTATGATATGTGTCTTTCTGTGTGTGCTTGTTACTGTAATAATGACAGAAATCTTCAGTTCCAGCCTTTTTTTCTCTTTAACTGTCAAAGCCACTTCTCTTAATTCCTGCTCTGACTGTTTTAATCAATCTCTTTTCCAATCCAGACATGACAATGGATGAGGTGAGAGAGTTTGAGCGAGCCATTCAGGAGGCCACCAATGAGAAGATCGGAATGTTTCCCCCGTCCATCTCAATCAGCGAAACACCCCTGTCCTCCTGTGCCCTCAACGGCCCTGCCAGCGCCCCCTCCACACCCATGTGCACTGATGCGCCAGAGTCCCTCTCTGTCCCAAAGGACCGACCCCGCAAAAAGTCTGCTCCGGAAACCCTGACCCTTCCAGACCCTGTCCAGAGTGGCGTCCCCCAGGGCTCTACTTTGAGCCCACTTCCCATTTCGAACCACCTCCAGTCATCCACACCGCCCACCTCCAACTCTGATCTTGCGGAGATGAACAAATAGTAGTGGGAACTTGGGATGTCATACCCCTTTATTAACTTGTTCCTACAACCCCATTGTCTTAGTAGCCCAATGAAAATAGCCTAAACTCTAAACACCAGTGCCCAGACATCCAAGTTCTCAAGCCATATCCAACAAATTTCCATAACCCTGGACATGCAGCAATCGCTCTCGAAGTCTTCATCAGTATCACTGCTACCACCCGAGCAGCTGTTGGCTCAGCCACCCTGAGGTGGCTGACTTCCTCTTGCTCTGAGTCGAGTCAACTACACGTCTCAGCTATTACAACAATCACCGGTGATGTTGAATGAAAACAGAGAGAATCCATAATTGCTTCAGTTGAGCAGCAGGTCCTTATGTTATATGAATAAAATATTCTCATTGTTTCCTCAGTTATGTTTTCTTCAATCAGACGAGCTGAGTGCTTTCAAACTATTGAACTATCAAGTAGTTGCCTTAGCACCACAGAGCCAGTGGTGTTTATGAGTTTTGACATGTGCAAATGAATGACATATATTATCCCGTTAGGAATACAATCAATGACACAAAGTGGAGTAGCACAGTAGACCTAATATGTTAGACTAACACACACAGAGAACGAAAGCAAAGTACCCTCATGAAACTACCACATGGAAACTGTGTCCAGAGCGTGGATCAGATTTCATCCTTTTCCATCCCAGACTCGAATAAACGACAGATGCAGGATCCGTACAATCATAGAGTTTACACCTCAGGTCTCCCTGACTCTACCTGACTCACACTCCAAAGGCAGGGATATTACTGAACCTTTCTCTCCCTGCTTATTGCCAAACAGCCACATTTTATACCTCCACAGATCTTACAATACAACTATTGTATGTACTATACCCGCCTACTTAACCCTTAGATTGTTTACACATCAGAAACCTCGGAGCGTTCGCGTATTTTAGGTTAAGCTGTTGTTATATATGCACTTGTGGTTTTAGCATGACACTTAAATCGAGTTTGTTCAAGTTTATTACTGCATATATCTTACTTAAGTTGACTGAGAGGTCAGTATATATATAACAAAAAAAACTTACAAGTCAAATGTTGCCTGATAATAATGCTGGAAATCTCATGTGACATAAATGTAATCAACTTTTGTCAAATCAGAAAGTTACTTTGATGTCACATGTAGGAACAAGGCCATCTTGAGGAGTTTTTTCAAAGCAGTGACAGATCTCTGTGCACAGTGGAGGTAATGAGAACCCAAAGGTTGATTCGAGAAAAGGGGCACGTGCGTCAAGCTGACTTGAGTATGTGCTTTAGCAGCATAGCATTTGCAGAAGTATTGATGCTTTTGCCAGACCATCGCTGGCTGTGCTATTAAAAGCGATTTTAAGAACGGGAACGTCCTTTGCAGTGACCCATTGTTTGGCTGGGCCTGTAATTTCCATCTGAACAATAAAGGAGAAACACCTACACAGAAAGAACGGTGAAGCTATTCTTTGAGGGAAAAAACTCTTTCTATTCAACGATATAATTCAAAGAAAGGTTTTTATATGCTGCATGGAATGATCACAACATGTATACACACAAAGTCAAGTATACAGTGTATGTGTATATACTGTAGATGGCTGGATTGGTTCAGTACATTTGTCAATGCAACAGTATAAAAAAAGTGAATGCTAACTTTGGAAGCTCTGTACTAATTTTTGTATAATAGAAAAAAAGCAGATTATGGGTGGAAATGTAAGCATGTCCAGAGAAAAATCCGTAGGACTACAAACTCTCTCAACTCAGTGCCTCTGCATGCAACAGTTGTAACGTCACCTCCATTCGTGCAAACCAAAATCTCTTCTATATTTCATGTCTAGAGAAAACTTAAATTTAATTTCTTTGCCTGTTTTCTATTTCAAATTTAACCTGGAATAAAAATAGGCTCCAGCCGCACACACTCATCTGAACAACACAATCAGATCAAATCATATCAAACATCGTCAGACTTTATTGTAACGGGACTAAGTTGTTGTTAGTTTTAGTTTTTTTGGAAAGAAGTAAAACTATTTTCCCTGTTCATGCCCATTACTTCTACCTTCACAGCGCAAACGCATTTTGCACTTTCCAGTCTTTGACACCTTATTTGACAATGAAGGAATGTGTTACAATACAGTCTTGTTGGGTTTGTCGGACCAAAGTCCTGTAATACAGCGTAAAGTGACTTTGAAGAGAGAAGGTCAGAGAGTGGCCTCAGTGGTCTTGCCATAAAAATGTTGTTAATATTGTGTACAGTTTCTCACTCGCTTTTGTTAAAAAAAAAAATGAAACAAAACAAACTGTAGCCATTTATCTGTAACTGTAGCTTTTGTCTTTGCCTTTTGAGCATACAAATGTTATTATACACCAGTCAATGGCCCGTCTGTATTGATCTATAACTTATAGATTATACACACACTGATGACTCTGGTATTGCTCATTTCTCTTGTCAGGAACACAGAGATCCAGGAATACATGTGATCTCCCACGGGCTATTAAAGATAATGCAAAATATCCAATCGTGCACCATTAAGCTCTGCTCTGTTTAAAAGAGTAACATAGTAGTTATTGTAAATACAGTTGTCAATGACTTATGGAGTAGGTTTCTTACATTTAGTCTGTTGCATCGCTGATGATGGGAGATGAATGATGAAGGATGTTATTTAGCGCAACATGAGTTAAAGCTTTGTTTTATCTAGGAGTGATGTGTCTGTATCTATGAAGTCAGTGTCATTATTGAGGATAACTTTACTCTCCTCCACCGAGTGTCGAGGCTCCTCATCGTAGTGGAGTACTTTTGGCTGCGGTTGCTTTTCAATGCCCCCTGCTGGGCAAAATTATTTGTGCAAGTTGTAAAACCAATTGAAGCATTTCCTTTTCTTTAGTGGGGTGGCAGCTTTGACGTTTAGTTGCCATATTGATTAAGAGGTGACTGGCTATTTTGTTGTTTCTTTTTGTTTGTAGTAAACCTGCTGTACTTTGATTTTGTGGTTGCTGTATCATATGAAGGAAAAATCTTAATTAGTTTATCTTTTTTTTTAATTCTTTTTTTTATAAAAGGACCAAGCTCTTCACTCCTCCTCCCCCTGATGCTCTTTGCATTCGGCCAGGCTGTTGTGCTGTCTTCTGATAACTGGGACCTGTCTCACCATCCAGGGTCACTGAGTTAGCTGGAGAATCATCCAGCCGTCTTCATTAATCCTGTTTTGTGAAACAGTCCCCAGAAGTGCCATTGTTGATCGGCTGCTGGAAGTCGCTCGTAGTTCTTCCTCTTCTACTATTATTGTATTTGGTATATTTTTACTGCCCTTTGAGGTTCATTCAGTTCTTTGTTGTAATTATCGTTTTACTTTTTTTCTGAAATAGACAAATAAACTTTACTAGCTATTGCAACTGTGTTATTCTTTCTTTGTTGATCTTCTCACCACATGTTTCATATAATCTCATATGCATGTCGTATTTCAGAAAACGGCAGCTTACAACAGTATATTGCTAAAGCATAACTGGCCCTAGCCTGACATTTTTATGAAAGAACCCTGTGTTTAAAATTAAAAGCAGTCATTTTGTAGCAGATTAAAGCCTCTTGGAGAGATATTATTATTATATGCAGGCAGCTGCCCACGGTGAAGCTAATTACAACCACTTGTACTGTTTGGTAGTTTATTATTTAACAAGGAAAATATTCATACAATACAATCATATTTCAGAAGCTGATTATACACAAAGAACAAAGTTCTTAAAATTACAGATTTAAAGAAGTGGAATAAGATGAATATTTTTCTCTCAAATCAAAATACCCAGATAGTAGATGGAGAACATTTTGCTCTATCGTTGCCACAGTGTCTACTAGTGTTAATTATTTCACTCTCCACCTACATATAGTACCAAGGTACTTTCTCTGGTGTGTTGTTGAGCCATTCTTGTGAACATGTAAACATCAAGGCAAGTTGAAAGAAACAGCTCTTCTGCAATGAGAAGTTAAGAGATGCTCGAGATAATGATTTCATTCAAGAAAATTAAATATGCTATTTTTTCAAATTACACTTGATCCATGTGTTACAATGCTTCTCACATTTACTGTGTAACTTCCACAGCAGCGAAACCACAACACTGATCCAGAGACATTGTGACAGACTCAAAGGGGATCCTCCTGTGGACACACATTTACCAGATAAATGTTGCATTGGGCCTGTGAAGCCAACCAGATCATTAAAAACACTGACCGCTGCAAACAGATACATGATTTAACTCAAACAAGCATTATTCAGATTCCCACCCATTTACATTCCTTTCTCCATTAACCAACATCACGTGGTGGTACTGAACTTCAAGTAAGATATTGTACAGCACAACAAATTATAAATGGGCAAACATGCACTGTAAACAGGGTGGGAGGAGTTTTTTCAGTGTGGAATCTTCCTCAAAAGGCAGCACACTGCACCAATGAATTCCTCCAGGAGCCTGAGGCAGCAGCTATGAGGCCTCAGCAGTGATGCTCAGGGCCTAAACAAACAAAAAGCCTCTGGGAATAACTTGCTACTACTCTAAAACTTGATGTGACTCAAAATAAACTATTAACACAGATCTTATCTCATTTGAACTGACGATTGAACAGTGAGGGGTTTATTCAGTAAATGTGTCACACTGGAACTGTGAAAAATCACAATTGGTTTTGGAAAGGGAGGAGTGGATCCAGGGGGCAGTGGCCCCATCTGATTGGCCCTTGAAGTGCTCCTGTCCTGTGAGCAGTTTAAGCTTTTTTGAAGTCCAGAATTTTCAAAATAAATTTGCACAAAGCTATAGAGCCAGCAGTAAACAAGGAATGACTTAAATAGGCACCTTACTGAATCAGGAATTGTGCATGGATGTTTATGGCCCCTGATTTAGAAAAATCTTAGATCCATCACCAAAAGAGAAATGCCCCTGATTACTGCAAAAAACATTTGTTATGTGGCTTCTTCAGCCGTGCTAATAAGACAAAAGAACATTCTGAAAACAAACAATATAAACACAGACATAAATGCACAATTTTGAAATAAACAATTTGTTTTATTACTTTGGATACAATTCAATTTAATGCAACTCAGTACAATTATTGTATTAATATGACTGTATACAACCACATGTTTTTAATATTCATTACATTTTTTATGCAACTAGAAAAGTGGGTTATGTGTTTTGCAGGTGCTTCACCAGGCTCCCAAACTGTTGATTTAAAAAGTGATGTGTTACCCAAGAACCAACTTAAATAATAGTCGTCATTGCTTTGTGGATCCCTTCACACGCAGAAAAGAGAACATGTGGGGTTGATGATTTTTAAAAAGAGAACAGTTCAATCTGGAGAGAGGTTTGCGTGCACTCTTCAGTTTATACACCACCTCACAGGGCAGACTCTTGAGGTCAGATCTCCTCTCTATCTTTGCCACTTTAAAGACCTCATAGGGAGGAATGAGCGCTTCTCTCTCTGCCTCCCCGAGCTTCGAGTACAGCGAGATGTCCACTCCGGAGCACGTCACAATCTCAAAGCACGACTTGTCACCAAACCTCTCAGAGCTGGGGTACCATCCCATTGAGCTGGAGGTGAAAGAGCCAAAGCGAATCAGCTTGTTTAGGACGTCCTGACTGAAGTAGCTGTTGACTCTCCTGTAGCCAGTCAGACATCTTTCCACTTCAGGTTTACGAGCACTGAGCGTCTGAAGGGCATCGGTCAGGAAAAAGTGAAGTGCGTGATACTTGAATGTGGTCATGTACACAGATTTATTAGTTCGAACTGCATTGTTAAATTCCAGATAAACATTCGGCTTGTCGAGGCTGTAAACATAAAGAGCCATGATCTGTTCTTTGCCCAGTCCCGTGGACGGCCTCTTCCCCTTACGCTTCCATTTCTTGTTGTAATATTTCTCTGCTTCACCCCAGGCCAGCATGAAATTTTTGTCTTTGTTTTTCTCTTTTGCCAGATACTGCTTCTTCACTCTGTTCTCCATCTTGTCTCTGCAACCTGCGTACATGTCGTCAACAGCGTTCGGAGCCAGATCCAGTGGAGGTTGTCCTTTTAATCCAAATTCTGCAGAGTTCTGCAAAAACACATAATGAGGGTCCGGACACAGCAACCACACTAAAGCAAGGCACCAGACTATATATACACTACCTTTGAAAAAGCTATAGAGAATCCATACATCATTAGTAAAGAAGCCCAAACTCCCATCATGGTCGTTTATCTCCCTCCAGCAAAGAAATCTGCACAAACAAAATACCTGTTTTTGTTGTTGATAGCTAAACAGGGTCGAGGCAAATATTTCACAGGCTTGGTTTTAATAATATCAAGGACAGAAATAAAGACTTCTGTTCACTTAACACAGTTCACTACTCACATGCTGTAGTGACACTTGGAGACGTCTCTCTCACCTGCTGCAGCTCATTCCAATCAGGGTGAGACACATTTAAAGACACTCCCTTTTCATTGTCATGGAAAATAAAGGTCTGTGTGTTTGATAGAGAAACAGTAGCCAGAGTCTGTGAAGAGTGTTAAGAATATCAGGAAGAGAAGTTTTCAGAGACTGTGAATTTTAGGTTTAAGTGTTTAAAGGCATAACATTAGTCTAAGATAAGATAAGATAAGATAAGAATAAGATGAGATGAGACAATCCTATATTAGTCCCACTACAGGGAAATTTGCTGTACGAAATATTTCAACAGCAAAGAAGACATTCAAGAAAACACAACAAAATATACTAAAAATACAAATATATATATATATATATATATATATATATATATATATATATATATATATATATATGCAGTACAAAGAGCTACAGATTTACAGTGTGGCCAGACAGCACAAGAGAGGTCACAGGATCATTTCTCTACAGATGGATATGTAACCTTTAACAAGCCTTTCTGCATCCCTGAATATACGAAAATATCTTTATATGTCACATATACAGAAAAAAACCCTGGTTCATATAATGTATGTATTAAAACTGCACTTTCAGTTCCTTATTTTTAAAAATAAACAATCTTATCTGTTCTACTTTATTTTTTGTATTCTACTTTTTCTTCTCTTTGTTTTTATTCATTCTCCAGCTCTGGAAGTCTGGTTGTTTTAAATGAGCTTTTGACTCGACTTGACTCAACTAAAAACACTCTTCAAAGAGATTGAAACAGTTCTTATTAATATTACTCTTATCATTAATAATAATTAAAATAATAAACTGGCAGTATTATTGCTTTGTGGGATTTTTTGGGGAACGTCTCACATCAGCACTGACATTGTTTCACTGACTATTCTCAGCGTCCCTGTGATAACCATCAGCTCCAGCAGAGCGCTGCAACCACAAAACTCTTGTGCCTGCATTTCATAAGGCCTGAAGAAATAATAACCATCAGTATTACACACGCTAACATCATTGCAGCTCTGCTTGTGTACCAGTGTGTTGAATCAAAATATGTCTCTGTTGTCTTTGATTAAGTTTGCAGTTGAGCTCTCTCCTTGGCGTTTTGGTGCTGAGGAGCTTGTAGACGACGGTGCACCTCGGGTCATCCGTCAGGATGTCGGTGAGCTTGATCTTGCTGAGTAATATGTCACATCAGCACTGAAGCATGTAAAGATCTCAAAACAAGACACGTTGCCATTAGCACCAAATGACTTCGCTGAAGCTGCCAAAGTGAAAGCACCAAAACGCATGTTCGTGTTGATGACATCATGGTTGAACTGCTTCCATGTCCTGTGAAAGGCGCTTCTGCACAATGTTTGATTGTGATGCAGCACTTGGATGGCGTCAGTCAGGTAAAAGTAGAAGTATTGGTACTTGAATCCATGCGTGCTGTACTTCAGTTTCTCTGTTCTCACAGGTGTGTTGAAGTCCTGCTGTATGTGTTTCCCTTCCGTGTACATGTACAGGGTGAGCGCGTGGTCTTTCTTCAGGCCCTCGTGCGCAGGTTTCTCTGCATGTCTTTCAGCTGAGGCCCTGGCAACACTGAACTTACTGTTGGAGTCTCGCTCAAACGAGTGGAACAGGTTGACCAGGGAGGCCGCTTCAGATCGGCAGCCGTGTCGGTGACATGTCGTCAATAGAATCTGTTGCCATATCCAGAGGTAAAGTCTTGGTTTTCTGCAGGGCCTGATAAGAAATAACTGCATGAGCACAATGGAAAGCTACAGACGGTTTGTGATGTGAGATTTCTGCTCTTAAACATAGATAAAATCATAAATAATGTCATCCCACCTCGGCAGGTTGCTGAGGCCACCAGAGAATCAGATATGGGTCATGATACAACATGAGCAGCAGCGCCAACAACACACAGAGAGGAGCCCACTTTCTCAGTGATTTCATCTTACAATCTGGGAAACAAAAGAATCAACTTTACTTTGATTTACATGCACAATTTGTATGATTAAATCTGCAAGTAAGAATCAATTCCTTGTGGCTGAAATTTAAAATACATAACTCCGATCCTTCCTAATCTCCTCTAACAACACATGATATCTGTTTTCTCTTACCTCTCCTCTGCAAAGTGCTCTCAATAGCAGCATGATGTTCTGACTAATAACAGGGAGAGTGTGGATGCAGTGTCAGCAGGAAAGTCTCCTCTCACAGGATTTACAGGTACAACCACACAGCGCAGACGTTGCTCTGCACTTTCACTCAAAAATGCCACAAGGGAATCCAGATCTGATTTTGCATGTATTGTTTAAACTGAATTAAATGTTGGATAAGAAACTGTTTAATTGATAAAAAATATCTTTTACTAATAAAGTTTGTGTAGTTTTGTAGTTTAAAGCTTTTTCGGATGTTGTGTGTAGGTATTTGAGTGAGATTTTACACATGCTCGTAGCTTGTAGATCCTGTTTGGCAGCTTTCTCAGAATCTCAGTCGAACATAAAGGTGAGTCATTGAGTCACATATCTAGAGTAACAAGAAGGCCAGACGAGCCAGCTGCCCACATGCTGAGCCGCAGGCTGGCCACCAGGGGGACTGAACTGTAACTCTTTACTGAATACCAACAGATATGACTTTACATAAAGATGAATGACACCACAACCATGGAGCCAAATCAGGGTCAATAAATCTGTTAATTTTAAAATTAGAAAAAAACAGTGTAGGAAAAGTTTTTTTAAAATTTTTATTTAGATTTTATTTTGGATTCAATTATTAAACTATTATTTTCATTTTTTACTTTCATACATATTTTGATATTGAGGTCTTGTTTTCATTAGTTTCAGATTTCATATTTTCATATCAAAATATTAGTGAAAATAAACACATATACAGTGCTTTATTTTACACAAGGTTTTTGGAAAACACACTTGAGAATCATTACATAAGTAATAGAACATATGATTAAGCTAGAGTAATTTTTTTAACAGTTGATCAGTAAATGTCCAATAAAAACTGTGTCCATGTGTGATTCACATGTATATGCACATGTAGGTGTGAACTTGGTTACATTACATCACATTTCATTTAGCTGACGCTTTTATCCAAAGCGACGTACGATAAGTGCATCAACCATGAGGGTACAAACCCAGAACAGCAAGAATCAAGTAAGTACAATCTGCTTTAAAAAAAAAAGCCAAACTACAAAGAGCTACATGTAAGTGCCATATAGATGCAACACTTTTTTTATTTATTTATCAATTTTTTTTAGCCAAGTTGTAATCAGAAGAGATGTGTCTTTAGTCTGCGGCGGAATATGCACGGTATGTAGGCTTCCTGCTGTCCTGGTGTCAATGGGGAGCCAGCAGTCATGATTTTGTTAAGTGGTTAGTTCGCAGTGAGGGAGCAGCAAGCTGATTGGCAGATGCAGAGCGGAATGGACGGGCTGGGGTGTAAGGTTTGACCATGTCCTGGATGTAGACTGGACCCAATCCATTCACAGCACGGTATGAAAGTATTAGTGTTTTGAAACGGATTCTGGCAGCCACTGGTAAGAGATGACCAGAGCCTGGACCAGAACCTGTGCTGCCTTCTGAGTGAGAAGGAGAGGTATTCTCCTGATGTTGTGCAACGTGTATCTGATTCAGATGTGTTTATACTCCTCCCTTTGGAGAGCAGCATTTGACTGAACAATAACTGGTGACATTTTAACATGTGATATGACATGTAACATGAGACAGGACCTTGCAACTAAACAGAATCAAACTGTAATTCATTTTATTATTGAAAGCTAGGCTTCTGTGCGCACATGAAAAGACTCACTCCTTCAGAATAAAAAGCTGGGCTGGTATGATTGGACAATTTATATGTGACAAAAATTTCCCTTTTCATGGCGAAATATTAAAATTCACCAAGCCATCAGATAAGCCATCAGATAAGCTGAGGACAGTGGGATTTAAAGGCAGCTTGTCAGAGGGCGCAAATGCTTTATATTGATACAACCTCACTGCAAAGCCTAATGACACATAAAGTATCATTTACCTTGAATACTGGGCTTCTGATGCTCATTCAGCTTGTGGCACATTTCACTGTGTGCTGATAATGTAGGTATGTCACAGTACAATTTAATCATACTCACAGATTCTTCTCTGAAATGTTACAATCGCCCATTGATGTACTGTGACACTGCTGAGAAATTCCAGCCCTTGTAAAGTGTTAACAAGCTTACTGAGGGAGTGAAGAGGTGAAAGTATGTTTGCCACTCAGTTGGGATTGTTTTCTTAACTGTGTTGTTTTACTTAGTGCACAGTGACTCACACACACTGAATATATATCAAGCAAAGCTTTCACAGAAAATATGCCGCTGAGCAAGATTATGGAGGTTTGCATTGGGACACCTCACCCACAACGTCCTCACCTGGAAAAAACAGAGGTGCTACTATACAGATATGCTGAGTCTCTAATGACATGAATTTTCCTGGGTCTTTAATGTAAGATGCATACAGTAGGTGCCTATTTTGCATTTTACAGAGAACAACTATCACTGCTTGCATATAGTATGAGCTACTTTTACATGGATTTGATATCAACTTCATGGTTGGTGCTGGACTGGATCAACTGGAGGGACTATGCTTTTGAATTTTATTTATTTTGCTGTCCAATCTACAACCATGAAGAAGTAATGACAATGGTGGGCGAAAACAAATCCAATTTCGTTTTTGTCCTGTGGGTTAGGGTTCATGTAGACTGGGTTTAGTCTGGCATCCAACTGTTAAGAGCAGCCACTGGCAGTGACATTAATCTGCACCAATAATTGTTCAAACACCCCAAAATATAAACAATGGCTTTAAACAAAGAGGTAAAATTGGACCAGCAGGTTAATTTGTGATGTGCAGAGTTACATTATTCATATGTGGGTGGAAAAAAATGTTTCTCCATTGTGCTGTAGCTTATTGTGAAATCTTGTGTTGCTGCTCAAAGACATGTGTTTCCTCATCACATCCTCAAGTCAGAAAGGGAGTGTCTGAGGCTGCAGGAGGACAAAGGTCACTTGCAGGACAGTTTCAAGGCAGATGCTCAGCATTGTGGGAAATCTCTTTTTGATCTCATGTCTGTGCGTTAATAAAAATAGCCCTCGGGGTTGCTCAGCCCCTCTACCTTGGTACTCCAAGGTACCAACAACGCAAATGTAAAGAAAACCATTTTTGGTTTTGAAGAAGGTTATGAGCTCTAACTATTTCCATTATGTCTCAAATGGAGGCCATTGTAGACCAAAGATTTACAAACGTGTACAGACACAGATATGTTGCATCTATCCTTTTAACTGGAAAAGATACATCAGAGCCTCACACCCATGATCCCACTCAATCAAGAAGAAGGGTGTGTGGAGTGCATTCCGTGGAATTCGTTTCATAAGCTCAGTCATTCGAGACGGACGTTAAGTATAAAAGGAAAGGAATGAGAGCACACACTCAGACACACACACTCTCCAAGAGTGAAGAGTTAACACACAGTTGATCTACAGACAATTTTATCGACGTGTGGTAAACCTGGAAATCTGACATAGTGAGACTGAAGCAATGGAAAACACCTGAATGCGACTGGAAAGTTAAAGAGCTCACCAAGGTAAGAGCCTGCAAATCATATCTTAATATTAAGAAGCTCAAAAATGAGTAATATCTTTGGTTTATATTGAAATGTATGAGTAGTAATACTACACATCTCTGGCCATTTTTGAGAATATTGGTTGAAACTAGTGGGATATGTTTTTGTGGTAATATTGGCATTTTATATTCTAATAGAGAGTTTTTCCATCTATCAATTTATGCTAAATGTTCATCTGAAAGTGGGCATTTATTGTGAACCAAGGTTTTTTTATTGGGTTAATTATATTATAAAGATCATCGTGTTTTTTCCAACTAAAATGTGTATTGCATTTAAAATCCTTCAGTCTAATGGTCCTGTAGCACCTTTAAAAAAAAATTAGTTTAATGTTATTATTTTTCTCTGCTTTCGTGTCTGTGGTTATTTTGCTCTTCACTTTTTGTCCTCAGGTGTTTTCATTTGCCACTTGTTGTCTCGTCACACCAGCTTCACCTCTCTCTCTGTTTGACCACATGGTTTTCTGCTCATAGAAACCCTCTGTGGAATTCCTGCACACAGCGGAACACATAAACTAAATTCTGCTCATCTGGTTTGTGCCAATTTAAATTACTAGAAACAAGTTTGAAGACAGCATCCATCCACATTTCTTCCTCTTTGAACTTCACCCTCCTCGACGTCCTCCTCCGTCATGACTGCCGGGATGACAGTCGTGTTCATGATGGCGGCGGGACTCTCCCTACCAGGCCTCGTTCACTGCTTCCAACCTCTCTTCTCATTCAATGGGAATTCCACCACTCACCGTGACATCACACAAAGGGCGGTTCTTAGAAAGACGGCTGAGGTCTGTCGAGATATCGCTGCCTCTGAGGGACGGGACTTCAGCCTGACTGTGAGTTGAGAAGCTACACTGAAGCAGAGAGACTGTGGTGCATTGATGTATCTATTACACTTAATATGTTTTGTATTTAGTTGAGGACATGATAGCTGTTTGTGTTTGAAATTCATATTCTTCTTATCACACAGTTGCTTAATTGTCATGTCCTCCTTCCCAGATTGACGACAGCCTGTCAGCTGGCAAGGTGCAAGAGGCCTGTTCCTCCACTGGAACTTCAACATCTCTCCTCTCCAGTGTCATATTCCAAACGTCCATCGCCAACATGTACTTCAGCAACGCAAAGGTGGACGTGGTGTTTGCCCTGAGTGAGGAGCACCATTTTGACGATGAAACCTTCCAGGGAGGACGTGATGTAATCACTGCAGGTTCACATCAAATATACCTTTTAAAAATATACAGTAAATATCTTCATGAATAAAATGTTTATATGGTTCAAATGAACTCACATCAAGCAAAAGATTAGACATTTGAATTTATTGTCAGAATATTCAAACTGTGAAAGACAGAATTGGGCAGCTGCGGCTCAGGAGGAAGGAAAGGTTATTAATTAACATAGTCTGTGTGGGTGTTCTCCAGCTGTTCTGCTTCCTGCCACAGTCCAAAGACATGCATATTGGGGTTAGGTAGATGAGGCACTTTACATTGACCTCAGGTGTGAATGT